GATTCGGCGGCTGAAATGGCGCCAACATCGCAGAGTGGGTTTCGTTCCGAAACAGTCGGATGGGCCTTGACTGTCCTGAAGAATTTCGTTGCGGATCTCGAAGTGAATTTCGTGTGGTTATTTGCTACTACAAAACATCCACGTGAAATCCTATGCGTTTTTCGCTCTCCGTTTTGAAGGTTTTGCATTGACAGAAATCCATGCAAAAATCCGCTGCAGCACGTCTGCAAGGTCGGTGCAGTGACACGTGCCCCGCCGAGGGAGGGGCCCTCCTCCTCGCCTTTGGCTCGTAGCCCTAAGTCGGGCACGTCTCTCTACAGGAGGAGAAACCTCCAGAGTGGCTAGCACATCTAGTTTGGTGACGACTTTTCGGGCTCTTTTTGCTATTTTCGTTATGTTTTGGATTCTCCTTCATTTCTCTTCCAGATCCGCCTGTAGGAGGACATGCGCGACCTAGTCGTAGCTTTCTTCGGACGGGTCGAGGACGAGGATCAATCCGTTCCAGAGCGTTCCGGAACGCTGTCTCAGAGCTTCCTGGAACGCTCTGAGAAGGCAGCGGCGCCCGATGCATCCCTCTGGGGCCGCCCGATCTCAGACATTCTCGATTCATCCTCTCCCGAAGTTGTCCTCGGAGGAGGAGGGGGAGGAGGAGGAGCAGGAGTAGGATGAGGATGAGGAGGAGGAGGAGGAGGAGGAGGAGGAGGAGGAGGAGGAAATGGGGGAGGAGGGGGGGGAGGAGGAGGAGCAGGAGCAGGAGGAGGAGGAGGAGGAGGAGGAGAAGTCCTGGCTTCGTCCTAGAACTTCTTCGTCGCGCCCTCCGTGCGGTGCGGCCTCCGCGTCTGCGACGGGGGCCAGCTTCGGGGGCGCGCAGGGGCTGGGTGACCCTCGGTGCGTGGGCTTTGGGGCGCAGGGGACAGGGCCAGCGGCGAGCGAGGGGGGGGGGGGGGAGCGAGGAGGGGCGGCCTTCTCGGAGGGCTCAGAGGTCCCCCTGGCCTTCCGAGAAGCTTTCTGAGCCTCCACCGAAGACACAGAAGACTTCCCAGAAGCCGCAGGGGCTCCTGAGAAGTCCCACCGCCTTCCGAGAGGCCCTTCGCCTTCTCATTTCCCCCCCTCGCTCGCCGCCGACAGGGGTCAGTGCAAACGAGGCTCAGCCAGAGCGCCGGATCCTGCAGGATCCTGCAGGGCCGGGGTGCACCGACCCGGGCCTGCCTGCTGGATCCTGCAGGATCCCGCAAGGCCCGCAAGGCTGACCCGGGCTTGCACCGACCCGGGTCAGGCTTCGTCGGGTGCTGTGAAAAAGACAGCACACACTGTGGTAAAAACATTGTGGATAAACAATCACACAAAGTAGAACAAACACACATGCATTGTGTGTGTGTGTGTGGAAAAACACGGTGTGCGCGTGTGTGTGTGTGTGTGTGCGTGTGCGTGCGTGCGTGCGTGCGTATGTGTGTGTGTGTGTGACTGTGTTCAGGGACGCTTCGCCCGCTACCTCCCGCCCTACCTCTCCCCGCCCCTGGCCACCTGGCCTCGGGCGGTCACGCCGAAGTGTCCCTGTCACTGCCAGCTTTTTGGCCGCTGCTCCCGCCCCCGCGCGGCTCAGGGCTGTGCCTTCTCCTCGGTGCGCCGCGGTACGACGTTCGCGGTGTTCCATTGCTCCCCGCCAGCCCCAGGCGCTGGCTGCCACTCCCCGCCACCCTTGCCACCGTGGTTCGCCGCGGCCGCCCACCGCGCTCTGGCCCTGCGCGCCTGGCTGCTGCTGCCCCCCCAGCTGCTCATCGTCGAACTCCTCGGCGTCTGAGCTTCTCGCTGGAGCGGAGTTCGCCGCCTTGCCGCTGACGAAAAATTGTTTGCAAAGACGCACGCACAGTGTTTTTTTCCCACGGCGTGTGCGTGTGCGTGTGCGTGTGCGTGTGCGTGTGCGTGTGCGTGTGCGTGTGCGTGTGCGTGTGTGTGTGTGTGTGTGTGTGTGTGTGTGTGTGTGTGTGTGTGTGTGTGTGTGTGTGTGTGTGTGTGTGTGTGTGTGTGTGTGTGTGTGTGTGTGTGTGTGTGTTTGTGTGCGCGCTTGTGTGTGTGTTTATGTGTGTGTTTTCACATGGGGAGGGGCCAGCAGGAAGAGCAGCTGTGCCTTCGAGGCGTCGAAGGAGTTGCGGCCTCTTCCCTGGCGGAAGAAAAAGGCGGCGGTAGGCGGGCGGCGGAGGCAAAACGCGATGGGCTGCCTCCGCCGGCGGACGCTGGCGGAGGCTGGCGGAAACTGGCGGAAGTACGCGTTTGCCCTCCACGAGGAGGCGGAAAAGGAGGAGGAAAAGGAGGAGGAGGAGGAGGAGGAAGAGGAGCAGGAGGAAGACGAAGAGTAGGAGGAGGAGGAGGAGGACGAGGAAGAGGAGGAGGAGGAAACGTAGTGGGAGGAGGGGGATGGGGGAGGAGGAGGAGGAGGAGGAAGAGGAGGAGGAGGAGGAGGAGGAGCAGGAGGAAAAGGAGGAGGAGCAAGAGGAAAAGGAGGAGGATTAATAATATTAATATACATATGAATATGAATAACAATAGTGATAGCAACGATGCGAATGATCATAATCACAATGCGCTGACGACGAATAGAAAACAGCATACCAATACTATTACTAATACGAGTAAGCATAATACTGAGAAGAGTCATACTAATATTAATACTGAGACGAATAAATAGACAAACTCGAATACTACTACTGAGACAGTTATTAATCAGAAAAGTACGAATCGTCAGAGCAATACGACGAATACTAATAACCATAACCATGGTAGGAATGCTAAGACGAAGAAGAATATGAATAATACAACGAATGAGGAGACAAACATTAATAATCCGAATAATACGAATAACAGCACTACTAATAATAATAACAGTACTACTAATAAGAACAATAATACAACTAAGAAGAGGAATACGAATAATCATGCGAATAATGATGTGGATGCTAATGATGATGGTAATAATAGAGAGAATATGACGAGTAAGACGGATACGAATCATAAGAATAATAAGAAAACGAATAAGACGAATACTACGACTCCTTACGAGGATAATATTAACACTAGCACTAACCAATACTAATCATATTAAGAATACTAAGAATATGTATTACCATATTAAGAATGATAACAGTATCAAGTATGAGAGTACTGATACTATTACTAAGAAGAAAATACTAATACCAGGAATACTAATCACAAAACTAATACTACGAATGACAATGCTACGAATACTACGACTGTTACTAATAATAATAATCATACGAATCGTGCTGCTGATCATACTGTGAACAATATGAAGGACGAATCATAATCATACTGGTAATACGAATACTAATAATAATACGAATAGTAAGAATAATAAGAAGAGAAGGAGGAGGAAAAGGAGGAGGGAGTGCTTGAGGGAGTGTTTGAGGGAGCGCGTCAGACAGAATAGCACGGCACAGGGGGGACGCCTGTTTGTGGCTAGAGTGTGCGAAGCCATTGGGCTACCGAAGCCTCCTGCCCACTGTCTGGCCGGCGAGGGGGGCGCAGTCTTTCATTCCAGTTCTTGCCAAGACGACGTTCCCGAAGGTTTGGAGAATTTGCCAGTGCCTCCACCTCTTGGTCGAGATGCGGTTTTCTACCAACACTGTTCTCAAGACAGCCAGATTGAGTTTGTGGTGGACAATTTTACCGTCTCAGGTCTTGCGAACGCAACTGTGGCGATCACGAATGCGAAGCACGAGCAGACAGTCCACAATATCAGGCGTGCGTTGTGGAACATTTTCCGGCGAGGTTTCCAATACAAAGGCGGCTATATGAACCCAGTGGAGAGCACGAGAGTGGAATACTGGAGCGGACTTTCTGGTCAAGCATGCAATGATGACGAGGAGCAGCGGCAGTGCACTTTCTCCGGGCATTTTTGGCGCAACATATTCACCAGGCAATTGCGTTGCAGTTCTTTTCGGACGGTGGCTTCACTGAAGGGCTTGGTGGAGCATATGGAGTGCAATTGCTCGCGCACGCCGGACATGAACGTATTGTGGTTGGATATTTGTACAAGTTTTCTGCGCAAGCGATTTCGGCATTTGAGATGGAGTTGAAAGGTTTGGAAGCAGCTGTAGGCATCCTCTGTCATGGCAACCCGAGCAGGGGCGCTAACCTCCCCCCCCAAAAAAAGGAGGAGGAGATGGATCAGGAGGAAGAGGAGGAGGAGGAGGAGGAGGAGGAGGAGGAGGAGGAGGAGGGGGAGGAGGAGAGAAGGAGGAGGAGGAGGAAAGAGGAGGAGGAGGGAGGAGGGGGAGGAAGAGGAGGAGGAGGAGGAGGAGGAATGCTCAGGAGGAGGAGGATGATGATGATGAGGAGGAGGATAGATGGCAACTTGTTTGGGGCTCATGGTGTCCAGGACCCGTCACACGTGAACCCGCCATGCGCGGCTTTCTGGGGGGGTGGGAGGGGGGCCAACACAGGCGCGCTCTCCTCTGCTGACGCATCGCACGCCTACGATCGGCAGGCCGCGCAGCAGCGGCTCATTTCGACTGACCCAGTTCGGTTCGGTTTCGACCTCGATGGCTTTCCGTTTCGGTTCGATTTGTCTTCGGCTTCCGATTTGGATTCCGATTGGATTCCTTTTTCCCAATGAAGCGCTACCAGCGTGCCGATTTCCGTCCAGTCGACTTCTCCCAACTCGGCTGCCGAATTCCAGCGAGCCGATTCATTGGTCGCCGGTCCGACGTCTCGATGCGATTCTGGGCTCTCCTGCTCTGCAATGGCTCGCTTCCGTAGGCCACTCTTGCATGTAGCCGGATCCCAACACGGTGTGGCATTGTTGTTGTAGTCCGCTGTAGATAACGGGTCGTCCAGTGGCGCGCGAAGTTTGACGGCTTCGCCTGGCCGTCCGCCACTTGGCGCCACTCCTGTACCTCCGGGAAGGACTATCACCAATCTCTCCGGGGAAACGGGCAAGGGCAGGGCAATTTGGAGGCCATCATGATTTGTCCGTCGGCCGCAGCCATTTTGGCTCAAGCTTTCCAGCGCGGGCCGCGCCTCGCCCCGCGGGCGACGCGCGCCCCCCCCCCTCCCAGCCTCGCAGGGCTGCTGCGAGGCCTGCCGAGCCGTGCGCCGCCGCTGTCCCGGCATGGAGGTGGCCCCGCCAGCAGAAGAGGAGCCGCGGGCCGCCCTGGACGCCGCCGCGGCGGAGGGCGCGCCGCCGCCGGCCCCAGCTCCTCAAGTGGAGACGCCCGTGCCCGCGGCGGCCACCATGAGCGCGGCTCCGCTGGCGCCGCTCATCACCTCGGGCGACCCCAGGAAACCCCACAAGGACGAGCCCTCCGCGCCGGGCGAGGCTCGCCCGGGGCCCGTGGGCAACCCGCTGCTGCTGAAGCACGAGCGCTTCACGGGCACCATCTGCAACCTCGTTGCCGCCACCGGCGGGGGCACGCTGAGGAGTCACATGTTCGAGGGCGAGGTCTCCTTCTGGCCAGAGGGCGTCATGCCAGAGTGCGAGCAGTACCTGTTCCGGGAGAGCGAGCAGGTGGAGTTCGACGTGCAATCAGATGAGCGCGGCAGGCCGCAGGCCGCCATGATGAAGCCGGTGGTGGGCAGGAAACCCGCCGAGTGCTTGGGCCAGCGCCACCGCGGCTACGTGCGCCGCTTCGCCGACCGCTGGGGTTTCCTCAACGCCGCCGCCTTCGACGGCGATCTCTTCGTGCACCGCGACAACTTGCTGATGGCCCACGACGCTGGCCAGGACGGGCAGCCGCAGCTCCGCGGGGGGCAGGCGTTGGAGTTCGATGTGGCCGTAGACGACCGCGGCAGGGTGGTCGCGAAGCAGATCACCACGAGCTCGCTGTTGCGGCCTATCGACTGGCTGGGCCACAGGCTGCAGGGTTTCGTGCGGTCGTTCCAGGGCGCTTGGGGCTTCTTGAACTCCGACAAGTTCGCGGGCGACCTCTTCGTGCACCGCGACAACTTTGTGCCGCACTGCCAGGACATGGAGCTCAGGAGCGGGACGCTCGTGGAGTTCGTCGTGGTGAAGGACAACCACAAGAAGGGGGGCAAGAACCGCCTTGTGGCGCGGCAGGTCGCAGTCGTGCAGGGTCAGGCAGCCGCCCAGGTCCAGGCGTATGCGCAGCCGCAGCCGCAGCCAGGCATCGACCCCTACGGTTTCCCGCAGAACGGCATGCCCCCGTATGGCTCTACGATGGACCCGGCGGCGCCCACCTTCTCCCCGTGCTCGTCCTCGATGTACTACCCGGGACAGGTCGGCTATGGGCAGACGCCGTACCCATACGCGGACTTGGCGCAGCACTATGCGGCGCAGCCCCCTCCGCAGCCGCAGGCTCCACTTGCGCCGATGCCGCAGATGCCGCAGCCGGTTCCGCCGTACGGGCAGCAGATGGTGATGTCCGGGCAGCCGGCATACGGGCAGGCCCCGATGGTGCAGCCGCCCATGCCACAGGTGCCGCAGCCCCAGTGCGGGCAGGTGCCGCCGGCCGCCCAGCCGCCGTACGGCCAAGTGCCTTATGGGCAGCACGGCTGCGGCATGCTGCCGTACGGTACCCAGCCTGGTGCGCCACCTCCGCAGCCGCTCGCGCCCGGCGTCCCGGGCGCGGCCGGGGCGGCCGCCATGCCGCCGCAGCAGCAGCAGCAACCGGCCATGCAGGCTGCCCAGGGAACCGTGCCAGTGGCGGGGCAGCCGGACGTCGCGGTTGCCGAGGCGTCCCCGGGCGCCGGAGAGCAGCCGCAGGTGCTGCTCCACATCACCACGCACGACTGGGAGCCCGACCAGTCCGGGCAGCTCCGCGTCCAGAAGAGCACGCTCGTCAACGTCTCGCACCGCGCCGCGCACGGCTGGGTCTACGCCGCCACCGTCAAGTTCGGCGAGAATGGCAACAACGAGCCGCCCGCCGAGGGCTGGGTGCCTCAGGCCGTCGCCAAGCGCGTCAGCCTCGCCACCGTCGAGAGCGACTGGCCCGCCGAGGGGCCCGAGACGCTCGGTCTCTTGAAGGGTGACCTCATCGCCGTGTCCAAGGAGGCGGAGAGGGGCTGGGTGTTCGGCGAGCGGGTCAGCCCCAGGCAGGACCCGTGGCCGCTGGAGGGGTGGCTGCCGAAGAAGATCCTGAAGTACGTGCTGATGTGACTGACCCCCGAGGTCAGGCGGTTAGCCACGCGCAGAGGAGGGGAGAGGGCTTCTTAGAAGCAGCCTCCTAAGAGGCCCTCCCCCTCCCCCCACCCCCTTGTGCGCGCCGCCAAGACGGGGAGCTCAAGTTTTGACAACGGGGCTATGGCGCAACCTGGGCTCTCGTGATGGAAGGCTTCCTTGCCGCACTGCGCTGGCACTGTGCTTACTGTTTGCGCGCCAACTTCGCCGGGTGGCAGCGCTCTACTGCAAGCACTGACGATTGATGGAATCTCGTAACTCCTAGTACAAACCTATCTCTGCCCGACTGGCCCAACTGCCTGCCGACGGTATCCTGATCAGCGCTGCGCTCCCTGCATCTGCTCTTAGAGGGACCTTATATTTGATATATCGCTGGCGCCCTGGTCTTTCGATTCGGGATTCGCGTCCCCGAGGCGCATTTCTCTTGCTGCGCGGGCGGCGGGGATTGGGCCCCCCGTACCGCTGATTTGCGGGGAGGCCTGAGATTGGTAGGAGGCATAACTTTTTGACCAGGGTGTTTGCCTGCCTGCGCGCCTGCGTCGTGGCATGCGTTCGATCTCTGGCATGTGGGGATCATGCCCTGTGCAGCAGGTCTCATCGGACGGAGAGGTGCTCCGTGCGACGCCGCAGGAGCTATAATAAACAAAAGCATGATGACTTCTCTAGGGGAGCGATAAAAGACATAAACAGACAAAGGCGGAGGTCCGCGCAGATTTCTTGGACCGGCGCTGGACCCCGCCCGCTCCCTGGCGCGCGGAGCGCGCCAGCGGCGGCGCCGGAGGCGCCGCCAGGACGGTCCAGCGCCGATCCGAGAAGTCCGCACAGACTTCCGAGTTTTTAGGTTTATGTCATTGTTCGTTCCAATGTTGTCCGTCGCAGCATGGCAGAGGCAGTCCGCACGCGGTTGCAGTAGTCGGGGACGCTCGACTAACAGATTGTCTGGATGGAGGAGGGGGGGTGGGGTGCGGGAAGGCAGGGCGGCCGCGGAGGGAGCGGAGAGGGTGGAGGGCACTCACAGGCGGTCCCAGCTCTCACCGGGCGCTATGTACTGCATGAAGATTGAACTGCCTGAAAGTGATGGGAACTCGTCAGGGGGTGGTCAGACAAATCTTTCTGTTCGATTATATGTTAAGCAACATCGAATTGTATTTGTTTTATTGGATTTCACCTCTTATAATGTCCTATTGTAGCCTTGATCACCAGAAAGGGCTTTCACGTGTCGGGCCCTCGGAGGCGATGCTCGTTCGACTCCGCTTGTGAGACCTCCCTGGGTGCTCGCGATCATGTTCGGTACGTTCTGGGCGCTCGAACTCGTGTCTGGGATGTGGCCCTCCCGTGCCATGGGCGCAACGCGAGTCACGGCGAGCGCGCCAGCGCGGCCGAGGCCATCGTGGTCTGTCGTCCGGCGCCGCCTTGCGGCCCGCTGTGGCGGACAGCTCGCTCGACGGCCCCGGCGGGCGCGGTCTGCTTCCGTGCGGGGCAGCGGGCTCCCCGCGGGCCCTCCACCCGGGGGCGCTTCAGGGGCTGCGCCCCGGAGGCCGTGCCCGGGCCCCGAGACCCCTGGGCTCCCGTGCTGCTCGCGGGGCAGTGCGGTGGAGGCCCACGCCAAGAGGCACCCTGCTCGCCTTGAGGGTGCCCTGGGCTCCTGGGGTTTCGATGGTCTTCTGCCGTGGAAGGCGTGACGTGCCCACACCAAGAATCAACGGACGCCCTGAGGTCTCAGGGTGGGGTTTCCTGCGGAAGGTCTCCTGTGGTCGGGCCTCCTTTTCGGTATCGTTTATCCGATCACCATCGCCATCCCCGTCCCCTTTCGAGGCCCCCACCAAATTACCACCCCAGTTGGGGATACACCCCTCGAAACCCGAAGGGAAAGACCTACATCCCCATCTAGGGGGGTAAATCGGCCAGTGGGGCCCAGGCCACGCCGCTGGGGATGGGGATCGGATCAACGATGCTCACCTCTCTAGGCTCACTGGATCCTTCTGGGCTCCTCGAGGCCCGACGGGAGCCCGGACGTCCAGGGCCTCGAGGCTTCTCTTGCCGTGCGGGGTCTTCGGGGCCGCCTCCCGCCCCATGGGGCCGCCGCAGGACAGCTCCGGCCGTGGGGAGGTCGGGGCTCCTTCGGTCCTCGATTCTCGATCCTCGATCCTCGATCCTCGGTCCTCGATTTTCGATCCTCGGTCCTGGATCCTCGATCCTCCGCCCTCGCTCCTCGGCCCTCCGCCGCCGGTGCGGAGTCGCTCTGCGCCCCGCGAGGCGTCGCGGCACCGTCCCCCGGGCCGTCGGCACGGGTGCCCGGCCCTCGCGCGGGCGCGTCTTCCGTCCAGGGGGCCGGTCGTCGCCGGGGGCCCGCCGCGGGCAGCGGAGGCCGCGGGAAGCTCGGGCCGAACGAAGGCGCCCCTCGAGGCGTCTCGGGGTCGTCGGCGCGGGCGCCCGAGCCTGGTGCGCGCGTCTCGGTCGGGGGTCGATCGTCGCGGGGGCCCGCCGCGGGCATCGGACGCCTGGGAAGAGCGGGCCGAAAGAAGGCCTCGGAGACGGTTTTTGAGGGTCCGGCGATAACCCAGGTTGTCGGGCTTGCCCCCCCCCTCCCTCCCCCGGGAGAACCTAACCTTGCCCGTTGTGCAGGTCCGGGGCAGGGGGGCGCGGGCATATGCAGTGCTGCCCACGCAGCGCGAAGGTTAGGTTATCGGGGGTGGACAGACCTCCTACCCTGACACGTCGATTAAGGAATTGACCGTTTTCGGTTCGCGAGGGGGCGTCGCGGCCGTCATTTTTGCGGGTCCAGGTCCGTCGGTTTCGGTCCTAGGCTTATGGTTGGCCCGACATGCGAACAGTGGGGGCCGAAGAGAAACAATTAAAGTAACCCCCAAAGTATCTCAAAAGTAACTTTCGGCTATTTTGAAAAGTAACTGTCCAAGTAGGTGGTCAAGTAACCCAGGGGTTTGCATGAAGTAACAAAGTAACTATGTAACAAAGCCCATGCTTTTCAAAAAAAAGGTCGGTCTTTGTGTAAAGGCATCGCAGTCACCATTCGATATTGCCGCAGATGTTGCGCATCCTGCCGTTCGTTTCAGGACGGATTTGTTGAGCTCGTTGTGCACCTCTCACATTACATTTCTTTGGCGAACGCCCCTTCCGACCCCCCCGCGCGATGAGTGGGGATTCAGAAGAACCCACCCACGTCGAGAAGGCGATCGAGGCCTTGAGACAGGCAGATAACGGGGGGTCCCAAGAGAAGGAGCAGAGGAGAAGGATTGAGGATGAACGGGGGGGGGGAAGGTAGGAGGAGGACAGAGTCGGGTTGGGGGGAATAGGGGAGGAGATGGAGGTGCGAGAGGAGTCCCCCCTAGCAAAAGCAGTATCTAAGCTGGGGGATGAGAAAGACTCAGAAATCATGTCGCTCACTCGGGACACATATGATCTTACAGCCGACAAAAACTATTTGCAGGGCAGGGTTGATGAGCTTGAGGCGCTGATTGAGAAATTAGAGTCAAATCTTAATAAGTACAGGGAGTTTTTCCGCGAGCACGAGTTGGATATGGCTATGGATAGATCCGCGTCTTCGTCCAGCTCTGATTAGTGAGGCCCTCTAGTAAGATGGTGAGGAGGAAACGGCGGGATGGTGGGGGAGGTGATGGGATGACGAGGGTGAAGGGAGGGAACGGCGGCGGCTTCTAGGGCCTATGTGAGTGGATGATGGCGCGGCGCAGGCCTAGCCATTGCTGCGGGTGTTCAAAATTTCTCGACGCTTTGCGTGCCGCCGCCGCGCATCGTGTAACACTGCCCGAGGGAGTAGGACATCTACCTCGGGGTGGTAGCGCCGCCTCCGTGATGCCTGATTGAAGCCATCTTGGGCCATTGCTGGTTGCATTGCAAGAGTTGTGAAGCCGCGCGTTGTGGCCTAGGGCGTCACGGAACCATCTTGGGCAACGTTTCACGGACGTGTATTGCGAATTATACCCGTCTGTGTTCATGTAGTGGCATGGCGTGCGCATAGAAACAGCCCTCTCAATGAGGTGGACGACGGTGGTTTTGGAAGAGATCGGTCTTACACCATCCGCGCCCATCAGATGACGGAAAGTGCGGTAGCGTTGTCAAGGCGCGCCGAAATCTGACACGCGCCAGTGAGCCCGCACAGGTAAAAGCTCGCCGAGGCGCAAGGCCACCAATTCATATTGTTGGCGCGTCCGTAGCCAGTTGGCTTTGCAGTTGCAGTTGCGTTGGTTGTGTTCGGCCTCGCCTGATGAGTGGCAGCGAAGATGGCGGGTTCGGGCTCTGGGGTCTGCAGGTAGCTTGCCCAGGCACCCCGCAGAGCAGCTCGTCATCTCACGCGTTCAGGGGCTGGCAGGACGTCGCGGCTGAGCCCGCTTCCCCGCAGTCTTGTCCGTCGCCGTCGTCTCCTGTTTTCGGGCGCTGGAGGGCTGTCCAGGCAGCGGGCGATGCGTCAGCCCAGCTCGCCCCCTGCAGCTTCCAGCCCAGCGGCGTGGACCTGGACGCGGTGCAGCTGGGTCCGCGGCAGGCCCGCCGGGGTAGGCCGAACGCGCTGCTGCGGGAGGCACGTGCCGAGGTGGCCGATGAAGTCGATCGCATGGAGATCGACCATGGTATTCTCATCAGTCAGATTGCGCCGCCAGAGAACTCAGCATTTAACAGTGGCATACATCAGGCCGCGGTGTGTTTACCTCCTCTGCCGCCGCCGCCATTCAGATACCCAGTTCTGGCTGGCTTCGGTCGGCCAAGTTCATTGTGCGAAGTTCTTGGGAAATATGGTGATCTGGCACGTCGGCCAGGCGCAGTACTAGATGATGGGGCCCGAGTTGCATCGGCGGCGTACCTGGGTACCGAGCACTATTCTCAAAAGTCGAAAACAGTTCAGGCAGACATCCTCGGAATTAACGTCAGGGTTCTCACTCGCTTGCGCGCGGATGTCGGGCATCACTGGAGGATTTGCTTGCGAAGTTCTTTTCTCGATCTTCCAAAGTTGCGCACGTTGACTTCTGCATGTATGATGAGACGCCCATGAAGGTCAACATCATGGGAGATCGCCAGATACCAGTGCCCAAGGTACACAGGGTTTCGAATCTAGGCCGTCGGCGGGCGTGGGGGTAGTAACGCACGCATGCCTGCGGCAATGGTGAGACGAGATGGTGGCGATGGTGGATGCGATGGCGGCGATGGCGATGATGAGACGGGGGGGGGGGGGTCACGATGAGGGGATGAACCGTCACATGTGTCACCTTGGCCTCTCGGAGGCGCCGCGTTAACCTCTCTGCCGTTTCTGAGCGGGCAAAGATCAGTATGCTGATGCATATGGTGATGATGTTGATGCTTGCAAGGGTAATGATGGGATCCCGCGAGGCGGGCCCCGAAGCCGCCACGCGCGCCACCTCGGCATTTCGAGAGGGGGTGGGGGCAGAGGCGGCGGCGACGGCAAGTGGGGAAGGGGGAGGGGGGGGGGAGATGAAGAGCCGAGCCGTCACGCGTCGCACCTCCCGCCTTGGGGTCGAAACCAATTG